GTTAAACATTTTAGAAAATACACTTTCTTGCCAAGAGTTGCACTGTTTTATAAGAATTAAGAATTAATACATAACATACTTCTCTCCTTCTGTCAGGTTCTGGACCTGACTAAAAATCAGCTGAATGTCTTCCTATCCCTCAACCCAGTTTGGCCCAATATGACGAAGCTGTTTAAGCTTTTACTACGTGGCAATGGTCTGACGGTTCTACACCCTGGTCAGTTCCTAAACTGCCCTGCTCTCATAATACTGGACCTGAGTGAGAACCAGATCAAATATCTACCAATCGGATTCCTCCATGGATTGGCTAATCTAAAGACACTGTATGTGAACTTCAACCAGATTCAAATGTTACAGGTTGGTGGATTGCAAGGAGCCTTTGCCCTCGCTAGCCTCTACTTAAGCCATAATAACATAACAAAGATAGAGGAAGGTGTGTTCAAGAACTCAGCTGTGCTGGAGAAACTTGTTCTGTCCAAAAACAGAATCACAAGTGTGGACGAGGCCAGCTTCAAAGGAGCGACAGGTCTCCTACACCTCGACCTGAGTGGCAACATGCTGGTCACTGTTCCAGCTGCAGCACTGAGGGATGTAAACAGGCTCCGGCATCTGTATCTACAGTCAAACAGCCTCAGCAGCCTTCCAGAGGAATGCTTCTCCTCACTGAGCCTGTTGGTTATTCTATACTTGAGAAACAACAAGCTGACCACTCTGTCTGAGGGATCCCTGAGAGGTCTGACCATGCTGAAAGAGCTGGACCTCAGTGTCAACCTCATAGATTCTCTTTCTTCTAAAGTCTTCAACAACCTGAGCAGCCTTGAGTCACTTGATTTGTACAGGAACAGACTTACATCTCTTCCTCTGGATGTATTCAGTAACTTGAAAAACCTGGGAGAGCTGCAGCTGGACAGCAATCAGATCTCTGTCATACCAGTTGGGGTGTTTGATCTGCTGTCCAGCCTCAAAGAGCTACAGCTGTCGAACAACAGCATCGGGGAGCTCCACCCTGCTATTTTCAACAAGCTCAAGTCACTACAGAACCTGTACTTGGAGCACAATGCTCTTAGGCACCTTCCCAAAGGTATTTTCCACAAGATAAGGAACCTCAAGGAAATACACCTCAATGACAACCACATCAAGTCTCTACATCCCTCAGTCTTCCATGGTTTGGTGAAACTATATTTGTTGAGTCTCTCCCGCAACCATCTCTCCTCTCTACACCAGGCCCAGTTCAGTGACCTTGTCAGTTTAAAAGAGTTAAAACTAGATGAAAATCGCATAGATAACCTTAACAAAGGGCTATTCATGAATCTAACAAATCTTATAACACTGGATCTGGATAACAACCGTATCTCAGAGCTGTCTCCTGATGACTTTGTAAGGTTGACCCGCCTTAAAGACCTCATGCTGAACTTCAACCAGCTCCATTACATCCCTTTCAACACCTTCTATTTCCTCCGAAACCTTCGCAGGCTTATGCTAAATAACAATAGCCTGGACAGTTTACACCCTCAGCTCTTTGCCCAACTTTCAAACCTAACAGAACTCCACTTGGATGGAAACAAACTGGATCACTTGCCGCCTGATGTATTTCGAGGACTTTCAAATCTCCAGAAACTGAGTCTGAAGTCCAACCGGTTCAGATCAGTGGAGCACGGGACTTTTGAGTTCTTAAGAAACCTGAATGCCGTCTATCTGTCAGGTAATCTGTGGGATTGCACATGTGCACATATTGTCTACATCAGCTGCTGGGTCGACACGCACAGAGACAAGCTCGGAGACCAACCCATCTGCTTGCTCTCCTCATCGTCAAACTGCACTTCTGCACACTCTCCTTACTCACCCTTCACCAGCTCTACTCAGGATACACCGGTCTCACAGGAAGCTCTCTCTCCCCTGTTGTTACAAGATCATTGCATTACAAGTGCTGCAAGTGGCTCATCACCTTCACTTCCTCTAGAAATGCTGAATCTGCTCACATTTGTTCTTGTAGCTGTCAGCCCAATGTGACATCTTTTGTCGCGGTTAAGTCCTCTTCTTTGCTTTTCCTGTCTGTTCTTGTCTTTGCACCACAATCTCAATGTATTGTAAGTTGGAATATCTGTAGATGAATTCAACAACTGTGTAAGATACATTCAGGGAAAATTTACACTGTAATAATGTGATCATGCCAAAGGGTAACATTTGAAAGCATTAAGAGGATTCTTGCAAAACTGGGAAATAACTCTTAAGACCATTAAATCTGGGTATATTAAATGTGTATGAACATTTATGCTTTGGTATGCAAATTCTAGCAAAAATACCTCAACACTGGACATCATGGACTCTAGTCTAGTGACTGGTTTTGTATCTTGATATTGAGTTAGAGTCTTACTTAAAGGCAGTGAGGGTTGAGCATGTGTTCATAAATACTGTAAAAATAATTGTCGAGTGTGTTTGTGTGTGCATTTGATTTGTACAGCATAACACTCAAAAAGATTTTAAACTCTTTATGCTTCTTCCAATGCATTGTAAAAATCAATAAAACTCACAAGATTTCAATTTCAATGTTTATCAGTTTGACTCACAGTCACAAAGTTGAGATATAACAAATATACACTCCACAAGAGAAGTTACAGAGGAAACATTCTGAACATCAGTGAGCACATCAGCTCTAATAAAGCACTCAAGGCAACTTTGTTTCCAGAAACTCACAGTTGTATTGTATGAAAAAGGGCAGGAAAGCACTCTTCAAGTTGGTTAATAAATGTCAGTCTTAAAAATTCAAAAGGGTTGTTTAAAAATCAGGAATCTCATTTTATATCTCTTAGCAAAATGCTGATAAATTGATTAAATTGTGGCTGGTAAGACTGTTTATGACTCCTCTAGTAATTTAGGACTCTGACAATAATGACTGACATTTTTTAATCTATTTGCCACTTTGGCCACTGGGTCAAGAATTTCATTTAAAGGGATGTCTCTTCTTACAATTCTGCTGTTAAGTCTAATTCTGTTTTTTTGTTGTAGTACCGAGCTGCAACCTGACCTGATTTATTTTGGTTCTTTTGTAGAACAAGCTGACTGTAACGTTTTAAACTTTCACCCAGACATCTACCAGCAAACTCTGCTTACAAATATATTTGAATAAAGAACTAAAAGGCTCTCGGTTCATGCAGATTCCTCCATGATACTTTTGTCCTTTCCGGTGTCCATTAAGACGCACTTCTTCTTTTCATGATCTCTTGTACCTTATTCAAGCTGTCATACCTGTTTGACTCAGTGCAAGTCTGTATGGATAACAGGTAAACGCCTTAAAGGTCCAGTGTGTAAC